AGCAGATGGATCTCTGTGAATTCAAGGCCACCCTGGGCTACACAAAATCAATGCAGAAACAAATCCAGGTGGTGGTGCCTCACCTCTGATCCCAGTACTAGGGAGTCCTTACTTTAATCCCAGCACTAGAGGAAATATAAAATGGGAGGAGAGAGAGGCTTAATTAGTTTGCAGTTGCCCAGCCTCTGTAGAGGCTTCTCTGGTGGCTTGGCTGCCCTGCTTTTCTGGTTTTCAGGTAGAGCCCCAATTTCTGTCTCTGGGTTTTTATTAGTCGTGCCACACAACAGGAAATCAACTGAGACACTGGGTGGTATCCTGAGCATAGGAAACCTCATAGCTGCCCCCACACTGTCACACTTCCTCCAACAAGGCACACCCACTCCAACAAAGCCACACCTCCTAATAGTGCCACTCCCTATGAGATTATGGGGGTCAGTTACGTTCAAACTACTACAGGGTGTGTTCTCACTTTTATTGGACATTGTCAATTGTTCTTTACTAACTTAGAATGATAGTACAAATTCTACCCAAGTTATCTGTGTTCTACACCCTCAAAAACATTTGATGCTGCATCCAAGGGAATGCAGTAAAGGAACTGCCAACAGGACAGCTGCACGGGGGGGGGGGGGTTCTTATTGTTAACAAAACAGAGGCAATATCCAGAGGCATCTGGAAGAGTTCAGAGCAGAGAGAAAAGAAAGCAGACTGGACATGGCCAGAGCTAGGGAAGTGGGAAAGCAGGAGACAATGGTGGAAATAGTAGGAGATAGGACGCAGTTCGAGAGTGGGGGAGAGCAACAAATAGAGTCCCAAAACAGAAGGGGGCGGACAAACCAGGCAGATTATAATAAGGTAGCTGGAGGGAGGTATTCATTGTGGGGGGGATGGAAAAACCCGTTACACAAGTTCCTGAGGAATGCTGGCTTTTATCTAACCATCAGAAATCCTTCTATTGTCCAGCTTGAAATCATTTCTAGACATATAGAGGGCCAGAGACCTAACAGACGCTACTTAACTTTTCAATGTTTTGCCAAAAAAAAAGATTGTGAAGCAATATTTCATGATTTTATGTTTTAATTTTCCTGAGTAGTAATAAAGCTGTGCATCCTTTTATGTTTTAGCAGTCACCAAGGTATACTTGACAATTAATTATTTATTCATATATTTTATTGTTTTCTACTAGATGGTGTGTGTGTGTGTGTGTGTGTGTGTGTGTGTGTGTTGTATTGTTAGGTATTAACCCCAAAGCCTGGAACGTGGTAAATAAGCATTTTACCACTAAGATTAGTTTCATCTCCTTGTTTTCCTTGGAATAAGCTTTCTCTCTCTCTCTCTCTCTCTCTCTCTATATATATATATATATATATATATATATATATATATAACTAGTCAGGCTAGCCTCAAACTCCTGAATATCAGGCATGTGTTATCATGCCTTACTCTATTGTCTTAAAAGTATATGCATTTGAAAAGTAGTGTAACAAAAAGTATCATTCTCACTGTATTTTCTTTTTTTAAAAATTTTCATTGTTGATATTTTGTTGGTTTTTTTGTTTCCATTTCTTTGTAATTTTTTTATTAAAAATTTCTGCCTCCTCTCCACCTCCCTTTTCCCTCCCCCTCCCCCCACTCCCCATGCCCCACTCCCCTCCCCCTTCCTCTCCAGTCTGAAGAGCAGTCCGGATTCCCTGCCCTGTGGGAAGTCCAAGGTCCTCCCCCCTCCATCCAGGTCCAGGAAGGTGAGCATCCAAACCGGCTAGGCTCCCACAAAGCTAGTTCATGCAGTAGGATCAAAACCCAGTGCCATTGTCCTTGCCTTCTCAGCAGCTCTCATTGTCCACCATATTCAGAGAGTCCGGTTTTATCCCATGCTTTTTCAGTCCCAGTCCAGCTGGCCTTGGTGAGCTCCCAATAGATCTCAGTGGGTGAGTGCCCCCCTCATGGTCTTGACTTCCTTGCTCATGTTTTCCCACCTTCTGTTCCTCACTTGGACCTTGGAAGCTCAGTCCGGTGCTCCAATGTGGGTCTCTGTCTCTATCTCCATCCATCGCCAGATGAAGGTTCTATGGTGATATGGAAGATATTCATTAGTATGGCTATAGGATCGGCCCATTTCAGATTCTCTCTCCTCAGCTGCCCAAGGACCTAGCTGGGGACATCTCCCTGGACACCCGCGAGCCCCTTTAGAGTCAAGTCTCTTGCCAACCCTAAAATGGCTCCCTTAATTAAGATATATACTTCCCTGCTCCCATATCCATCCTTCCATTATTCCAACCATCCCATTCCCCCAAGCTCTCCCAATCCTCCCCTTCTCACTTGTCTTTCCCCATCTCCCCTTTCCCCCATCCCACCCCACCCCCCAGTTCCCAATTTTTGCCCAGCAATCTTGACTACTTCCATTATCCAGGAGAATAACTATTCGGTGCTGAGGGTTGCAGGGACTTGTGCATACTAAATGTCCATATTATCACTGGCCCATAGCCCCCACCCCTGCTTTCCCACTTTCTTCTGAAAGTCGCAAAGTTTTGCTTTTCACCACTTGATTTTTAACCTACCTGTCCTAGTTTTCTGTTGCAGTGATAAAACACTGACCAGAACCAACATGAGGAGGAAAGGGGCTAATTTCACCTTCCAGGTTAGAATTTATCATCAACATAAGCCAGAGCAGGAGCTGAAGCAAGGAATCCTAGAGGAATAGTGCCTACTGGCTCGTTTCCCTTGGCCTGCTTAGCTATCTTTCCTATACAGCATGTACGAAAGACCTATCTGCTCAGTGGACTGAACTCTGCCACATCAGTAATCAGAAGAATGCCTTCACAGGCCAATCTGATTCTGGCAATTCCCCAGTTGGGATTCCTTCCTCCTGGGTGTGTCTGTGTTTGTGTTGAGCTTACAAACCCTATGACATTTCACCCTTTGTCAATTCTGCCACACAAACACACAATTTTAAACCAAACCTTTTTTATTTCTTTTCTCTGGGATCTCATGTTAATCTCAATACGTTTTAAAGTTTCAGTCTTAGCCGAGCAGTGCTGGTGCGTGTCTTTAATCACAGCACTTGGAAGGCAGAGGCAGATGGATCTCTGTGAGTTCAAAGTCAACCTGGCCTACCAAGTGAGTTCCAGGACAGCCAGGACTTTTAAACAGAGAAAATGGGTCTTGAAAAACAAACAAACAAAAAAATAGTTTTAGTCTTTTACAAATACCAATTACTTTAAAAGCCCATTCTCTTTAAAGATCTAAAGTCTCTTAACTATAGGCTGTTATAAAATCCAAAATAAGTTTCATACCTTCTTATTCCAGAGGGAAGAGCCTGGGCACAGTTAAGATCAGATCAGGTCAAGGCCAAGCAACAATCTAACAGTGTAAAAAGCTTAATGTCCGATATCTGGGACTCATTTGTGATCTTCTGGGCTCTAAAGTGCTTGGTTAGCTCACCTCCCCAGCCCTGACATATAGAGCACGCACAGCTTGTTTCATGGGCTCAGGCTGACTACTAACTATAATACCTCCAGAAATTGATTTTTCCATCCATAGTGTGAGGTAAGGATCTAACTATATAATTTTCCATGTGGAAAAAAAAATCAGTATCCCCAGCGGTATTTAATGAAGAATCTATTCTTTCTTCACTGATATGAAATGGCACATATACTGAGTAATCCATTTTCTATATGTGGATGGCTCTATTTAAGGGCGGTGTATTCTGTTCCATTGGTCTGTGCTCATACTATAGAGTCCTAACTAGCATAGCTTTAAAGTAAGTCTTGATATCTAGTCAAATATAGCTTCCGGAGCAAATGAATAACACAACTGAAGTGGTAGTACTTTGGGGCGACTATTAACAGCCTGGAAAAGTTACAGGAGTTCTTCGGGTGGGGGAAAGATTCAGTAACCCAGCTCAGATATCACAAAAGCTTGTTTACGTGGCCATTTGAAAGGCGAGAAAACAAGAAATTGGAAAAGTCATTCCAAAGAAAATATGAATAAGGTTTATTTGGATCAAAATGATCATGAGAGACGAAGAAAGCATGTAGCTTTTAAGTTTTCAGGGCAGATGGCTGAGTGGAACGGACTAGGCATGTGTGCTTGAACTTCACAAATTCGGAAGTCACCTGAGGAGGATGAAATGCAGGGGTGGGGGTGGGCCAGAGGGCTAAGCTCTGGGTAATTTCCAAATTTAGGGGATGGAAGAAAAACATGGAAAGAGAAAACACCTTAGAAGATGACTAACAGAGAGCTTCATAAGTTTAAAGGTTTTTTTTGTTTTGTTTTGTTTTGTTTTGCATCATGCTATGGTTCCTATAGGCCCAGCTCATCCGATGTGGCTGTTTCTTTTCTCTGACTGTCTTCAAAGTCCTCAGACCCTTTCTGCTGCTTTGCCTTGTGCTGGACCAGCGGCTACAGAGTCCTCAAGTCCTTCGGGTATCTGGCTGCAGTTCCCCAGGTTGGTCGCAGGGGGCGAAATCTGCGGCGGCCTGGCAGGCGGGCGGGGGCGGGAGGCGCCGCTCTCTCTCGGGTCAGACACTCTCCTCCCAGCTCCCCAGCTCCCCAGCTCCCCGGCTGCCTCCCAGGCTCCCGGGCTCTCGGGCTTCCCAGCGCCCGTTGGCTCCCGAGCCCTTTCTGTCCGCCTAGCCGAGGCGGGTGGGCGGCAGGCCGCAGGAGGCGGTGTCGTGGAATCCGCTGGCAGTCCGCAGCCCCGCAGAGCCTGGAGGCCGCCCTGATGGAGCCGCAGCTCCCGATCGGAGCTCAGCCCCTGGCCGTATCCGTCTGAGAGAGGGGGAAGGGGAAGGGAGGCCACGGGGGCGGGGGGCGCGAGCCGGGGTGCCGCACGTGTAAGTCCTGGGGCTGAGCAGAGCAGGGAAAGGGGGCCGGCTCGGGAGGGGACACTGGGGGAACCTCGGAGGGCGGCTGGTGTGTGCCCAACCCCGTGTCACCCCTTCTTGGCTGAGTTTGCAAAAAAAAAAAAAAAAAAGGGAGAGACCCTTGACCAGTGCCTGCATATGGTGGAGGGTTTGGAGATGAAGGGTCCCCTCCGGGAGCCCTGCGCCCTGACCCTAGCCCAGAAGAACGGGCAATATGAGTAAGTAACCACCTGACTTCCACGGAGGAGAGCGCCTTCTTCCATAAACCTCCCTGAGTCTGAAACCGCAAGGAGCCAGCCCCCTTGGCCAAGCGGGCAACAGGTTCACAGCCAGGTGTGCAGTGAGCACTTCCTGAGCAGAGGCCTCCCATCACCAACTTTTAAGTTGCTAGATAACTCCAGGCCCTGTGGCTCAGTGGAAGGGCACAATGGACAGGGAAGCAGGAAGCCTGGGTTCTTTAGTTCCTGCACCCTGTAACTGACATGTGTTGTGTAACCAAGTTAATAAGGTTTTCTGAGTCTTGGTTTCTTTCCTCTTACGTTGAATAAAAGCATAAACTGTCTTAGAACTTTTGGAGGTTTAACTGGGGGAATCATAAGTGTAAAAGTGGTTTACAAAGTAAAAGTGCTATGGAAATGCTCTACTGTTAATGTTCCAGACTTGTCTTTTCCCCATTCGACTGGCTCTTCCAGTCCCTGGATCCTCTTTTTCCATTTGCTTGAAGGCATATTCATTAATTCACTAATTTGTTGGCATAGGGCAGTAACTCTCTCGCTGGACTGGACTGTTGGAAAGAAAAGCTAATGAAATGTACAGAAATAAAGCGATATTTGATATTTTATCAGTGCAAGTCACTTCCTTGGATGATAGGAGCTCAGTAAATACTGTTGACTGATTGAGCAAAAGATTATTTAGATAAGCTTTTGTGCACAGCTGCTAACCTTGCCCCCTTGCCACTGATGCTTCATCTAAAGTTTCCATGGTTACCATTATACATCACAATGCCCTATCCCTGTTAGTGTGGAAGGTACTACCCTTGGTTCACTGGTTTCTGGGAATCAATTTTTCTCCCCGTTTAACAGTTGTTGAGCACTTAAATCTGAACATCTCTTAACATTAGATTCTGCATGAAAATCCATTTGTCTCGGGCCCTACTTTTTAATCCTCTGTCTCTAGCTGCACACAGAAGAAAAGTACCATAAGCCTTGCCTTGAGGCTACAGGTGACACTGTAACTAATTTCAGCTAGGTCTTTGAAGTAGCTCTTTCCTAGATCCTGCTTGGTCGGTTGTGCTGATGTGAGACATTCATATTATTTTCCCTAGACTTTATAAAAATCCAGGAAGAGTAGTTTAATAAGAGTGCATTCAATGGAACAGTGAATTGAAAGGTTCGATTTCGCGATCATGTCGCAAGGTGGAAACAGTATGAAGTAGTATAACCTGCACAAACCAGTAGATTCTATGTCTCTTGGTTTCCTCTTCAGTTAAAAAAAAGAGCCAAAGTTATAAGAATCAAGTGGAATAGCTACATCATCATTGTAATGACCACAACGCAGGAATCTAACCCCCTGTTTAGTGGGTTTAGAACTCTAAAATGAGAGCCCGTAGCTGGTCTTAGGATAAGGAATTTGTCTTGTCTAATCTCTTGTACTAGAAAAACTTTTAAACTTGGCAAGGGGAGTACTCTTGACTATTTCCCCACAGAGAAATCAAATCCCTGTGGTGTGAGTGCATATCAATGCTAAGGGTATAGCAACTACTACTGCATGGTGACTTGATGATAGCTCTAAGTGCTTATCATGCCCCTTTATAGATAGAGAAAGGGAAACTAGGTTCCTTGTTCAGTTATAACATTGCATAGCTGAGATCTAAACCTATACAGTATAATCCAGAATTCACAGAGAAAAGGTTTGTTTTGTTTTCTAGACAGGGTATCTCTGTAACCCTGGGCTGTCCTGGAACTCATTCTGTAGACCAGGCTGGTCTTGAACTCAGAGATCTGCCTGTCTGTTTCCCCAAGTGCTGGGATTAAAGGTGTGGCTGTGAAATTTCTTTTCTGAAGACATTCACTGCAGACAGCTAAAACTATAATACCATCTGTACGCCTCAAAGGTTTTTTTCCTCTTAATGTCTTCTCTGACCTAGGTGTCCAGAACTTTTTACTTTCAGACTTTTTCTGTCTTAGGACTTGAAGCCTAGCTCCACATTTAGCTCTGTGGTTCTGAATATGGAAGAGCTTTGCTTGAGAGACCAAAATGAAAAATAAACATATAGGGTTTTTCAGGGAAAACAATGAAATGTTAAAAATATTTATTTCTTCAGGGAGTTTCATTTGGAAATTAACCTCTGCTTATAGTGTAATTAAAGTTGTTCACCTATTTAACCAGTAGTGATTGAGTATCTGCTAGACTGTAGACCGATCTGAATAGGGTCATTGCTCTGAAGGAGCTCCACTCGAGGGGAAATTAATGTAACTGCTGTTTATGTGTTCTGTTGGAAGGCCAGGCTAGGGGGAGAAGATTGCTGGTTCTGCTTGGAACTGTTCGGAATAGGCTTCACAGAAGAGAGCGGTTTTGAAGTGGGGCTCAGGAAGAAAAGAGATATTCTTGAACAAAACTGAAGAGTGCTTGATGAAGGAAGCAGTTGATGTTTAGAACAGCGGTTTCCTAATTAGGTTATACTTGGATTCTGTGCCACTCAGAAGAAGTGATTTTTAAAAAGTGAGCCCAACGTGGTAGCATGCATCTACAGTCCCTGCACGTTGGAGGCTGGGCAGAAAGATCATGGGTTTGAGATCAGCCTGAGCTATATACTGGGTTATAGGCCAGCTTGAACTGCAGTAAAACCCTGCCTCAACAATGTAAGGAGTAAGAATACATGAATTTAGAAGTCTTGCACTTCATACTTGGAAGCCAAATTCATTCGTGCTTGCAAAAAAAAAAAAATACCAGCCTGAAGTTAGAAACCAGAGAACATACACAAAGGGTGTGAAGGCAACCCACTTATGGTTTGGGCTACCTCTTTGCTGTTTTTTTACTGGTCCAGGAATAATTCTTCTTATTCTTCCAGCAACCTACATGCATGTGCGAAAGAGAAAGAACCCTTCTTTGGTCAAAGACATGAATCTGAACGGGAAAAACTAAAGACCAGGTTGTCTGGTTCATTGATTCAGTGCACCTGAGTGCCTGTGATATGCCGGTCTCTAACCTAAGCACTAGAAATACTATGACCAAAAAGATAGCCATGGTCCCTGCCATCATTGAGTTCCCTTAAAGTTATAGGTTCTCCAGTCTGATGTTTATACAATGAACTTGTGTAACTTGGGATGCATGCTCTTAAGACTGTTTTTAAGACATATACATATACATTCTTTATGCCTGTAAGCAAGTTTGGATGTTCAGATATTGATCACCACTCTTAGCCCTTGAGCAGCATTTACTAATTATGATACTCAGATCGAATGGACTAAATCCAACAAGTCCAATAAACATATACAATTTTTGTGTAGCAAGACAGCAAGGTGTTTTGTTGCTAAAGATTTGGCATTTTCAGTAACTATTCATTAATACATTCTTCTGTCTTCTAGGTTAATAATCCAGTTGCATGGGAAGGAGGAGCATGTTCAAGATATCGTTCCTATAAATAGCCACTTCAAATGTGTTCAAGGTACTTGCTTTAATGACTTAGCTAATTTTATAAGGCTTTGCCTTGGTCATTAATGCAGTGTATAATGCCATACATATTCAAATTTGTCACTGCATGTAAAATGAAATATATTACTCTTCACAGAAAAAGTTAACACTTCTAACCGGCCATTGAAAAGATAAGTGTTATGTTTAAAATGCTGAATGTATTTAGCACCTGCTTCACTGAGTAGGGTTGGAGATATGTATAACTAATCTTTTATGCTGACTGACATATATGTGGATTTAAATGACGACCTTGGGCTTAACCAACGTTCTGTCCATTGTAAAGGATTCCCGTATTCGGCACTTTGGATTTAAGTCACCTTGGCAACATGAGGTATCTGACTGTCATGCCTCATACTCAGTTCTATCGATTCTCAAGCCTTGACATTGGTGAATCATAACTCTGGGGAGGGAACACTTAGCTTTCTACCCTCACATTTGAGGACTGAACATAGAAAAATCTTGGTTCGTTTTCTGCAACGAAACTCAAAAGCTGGGAGAGCTGTGTAGGAGGTATTGCTTCTGTAACTTCCATTGCTCTAGAAAGGAAGCAGGTTACTAGAGAACAAATGTCTTATGCCTCCCAGAGGTCCAGTGCTTCTTTCAGGGAGAAGCATTCTGTACCCAGTGGAGGATCTTGAGAGCTTGAGTCCCACCTTGCTCAGGTGCTTTCTACATTGAACTTTGATCTTTTCACAACAGTAACATGCATTCTGTAAAAGGGTTGGAAAGAGCAGCAATGCACGAAGAAAATAAGTCACCTAAAGCGTCCTTTAGAGACACCTAATATCTATTTTTTTTCTCTGTGCACACAACACATCATTAAGCAGGATTCATCCTATACAACATTTTTCTCTCATTCACTTGCTACTATATTACGAGTGTTGTCCCATGCTGTCAATGGCTATATGCTGTTCCATTTTATGGATAGCTCATAATCTAATTATTCCCTCTGGTTGACATTTGGACTACTGTTCACTGGTAAAAATAGGAATGGGGCAAACATCTCTGCACATAAATCTCCCTGCATATTTATTACTTGTTCAGGACTTATCCCTGTAAGTGAATGTAGTCAGTGTGTATGACTTTTAAAACAGTGTGCTGAAAAGAAAACACATTGTGATTAAGAACTCAAAAATACTCAGCTGGCCATAGTGGCTCATACCTATATCCCAGAAGGAGGCTAAAGCAGGAGGGTTGCAAATTAGAGGCCAAGGAAGAGTTCCAAGCTAGACTTGGCCATGTAGGGAGACCCTGCCTGCAACAACAACAACAAAAAGCAAAAGGAACAAGGAGAGGAGAAGATAGGGGAAAGGAGGAAGAGAAAGAGGGGGGAGTAAATTGAAATACATACAGCAGTAGCATCTAAGGTGTGTCGAAAAGCAAGCCAGTTGTTGAACCCGCCCTGCACCGGAGACATTGTAAACAAGGCTCCTACATGCTGTAATAGGGTTGCTACACTCACAAAAGAGCCAAAGGTTTTGGTGTCTGAGCATGATTTGGGCCTTTCCTACTACCCCTAGGGTCTCATTTCCATTATTTTTAGTAAGAAGTAGATGGCCAGTTGCTGTATTGCAGTGGAAGATGTATGCCATTTTCCCCCATGACAAATTGAAATGATATGCCCTTGAGTTTTCACTTCCTTTCCATTTCCTGACTTGCATATCTATTTGGGAAACTAGTCACTCAGAGTTTTGTGGAACTAAAGGGCATTGCAGAGCATTGCGTCTTTATTTCCTACTTACGTCAACCTGCAATGGAGAGCAGGGGGACTACACTCTGCTATTGACAGCTTTGTGCCTTACTAATCACTGCTCTTTGCACCTGAATAGTAGAGCCTGGTGTTGAATTGAGTGCAGTGAGGGAGCTGGAAAAGTATGCGGCTTCCCATCTGATCAACAGAGGTCGTGGTTGATTCCAGCTCAGAACTAAGTGTCAGCTGTGAGACAGTAGCCTGTGCTCAAATCTAGGGAAGTCAGATAGTCCAGGCAAAAAAAGGAAGTCCAGGAAAACCAACGAGAGAAAAGAGAACTCTAAACTTGCAAACAGCTTGTGCTGTCTTCTCTCCCCGCTCCCATTGACACATAATACTTGTGCATATTAGGGAGCACAGTGTAACAATCTGAAATATGCAATGATCAAATTGAAAACAATAGCATTTCATTGTATTAGGAACTGTCAAAGACATCTAGTTTTTCTAAGATGTGTAGTAATGTGTGATCTACTGTTATTACCCTGCTATGCTGTAGAATACTAGACCTTAGTCCTCCTATCTAACTATACTTTGCTATCCCATATTTACTCTCTCTGGATCCCTTTACCCACTACTTGACCCCAGTCTCTAGTCCTACTCTATGCTTCTACGAGATCATATTTTAGCTTCCATGTGTAAGTGAAAATATGCAATATTTATCCTTCTGTGATGGTTTATTTCACTTAACGTAATATCCTCCAGTTCCATCCAGTGGCCAAAAGGTCTGAATTTCATTCTCTCTGTCCTTAAACAGTATTCCACTGTGTGTTATACACTGGATCTTCTTTATTCATCTGTCTGGATCATCATGTCTCCTGTGAATCATGCTCCAATTAAGATGGCATTGTGTCTGAAACTTCTTATTGGATATGATACCTTTTAGACACACAGATATTCACTAAAGCCTAAGAGAAAAAAACTTTTAAGTATGCTCTACTCTTCAGCAGGGCAAAAGCAGAGATGAGATCATTGACAAATTTTCAGAGACTATGTCTGAGTTGAGAGAATAATTCTGTGAGAAGAATTCTCTGAGGCTTTTAGTCACTTTTCTCTGGCTTCCTATAAGATCGAAAGAACACAGAGAGCTAAACTGGCCTTCACTTGCACAAACATGTTTTCATGTTCCCTTCTATTAAGTCACCATCCCTTGATTTTCTTTGAGGAGTTCCAGTCGGGTCCTTGATCAACTCATTTTTTTAAGTTGAATTGTACATAGTCTTTACAACCTGGGGCTATAAAAATTATTTTAAAAAATATTCCAAACAAAAGCAGTCAAAGGATTTTTTAATGTATTCTGAGACTCGGGAGGGGTGACTGAGTGATTGTTTAGTTATGAAATAGTCTTTAGTGGTAACGAGTAGTGTTCTCCTCTCTGATTCCATTGTGTTTGTCTCCTCCCCGTAGAAGCAGAGGAAACTCTTTTGATTGATATTGCTTCAAACAGTGAGTATCTTTCTGAATGGAGTTGATTTTCATTCTACAAATATTAACTTTATCACTCTATATTTAAGAAACTTTTGGGGGCCACATGGTAGTGGTACACACCTTTAATCCCAGCACTCAGGGGGCAGAGGCAGACAGAACTCTATGAGTTTGAGGCCAGCCTGGTCTACAGAGCGAGTTCCAGGACAGGCTCCAAAGCTACAGGGAGAAACCCTGTCTCGAAAATCAAAAACAAACACAGAGAGAGAGAGAAAATGAGAGAGAGAGACAGAGAGAGAGAGAGAGAGAGAGAGAGAGAGAGAGAGAGAGAGAGAGAGAGAAAATTTTCAGGGGTGAATCTTGCTTGTATTTAGCCATCTCATTTTGTGGTCACCATTTTCTTAATGCTGCCCTACAAATTATCCTCATCTCTCAAAGCCATTCCATCTGAGCCTGAGAAAACACAGATAGCTGCTAAGAATCTTTAAAACCTGAAATGTGATCAGCTCTTCTGCTGAGGAGCTTTAAGCCACCTGAAGCTGCAAATTATTGTCACTACCAATCGCATCACCGCTGTGGAACTTATTAATTATAAAGATCTAGAAAAATGCTTAACTTGAGGTTTCCAGATCATGTTTGTGTGTGTGTGTGTGTGTGTTTATGTTAGTACATATGCAGATAAGCATGCAGTGTGTGTGTACATGTACACATCTGTGCATTTGTGTTGAGGCCTTGGGTCAGTGACAATAAGTAGCATTTTTAGGTGTTGTTCACCTTTGTTTTTGAGACAGGGATTCACCAGCTTGGCGTTCCCCAATTAAGCTTGGCTGGTTGGCCAGTAAGCACTAGGAGTTTACCTATTTCTGCTTCCCCAGCACAGATTACAAGTATGCTCCACTATTTCGAGCTTTCTTACATAGGTTCTGAAGATCAAACTCAGGTCCTCATGCTTAAATGCCAAACACCTTACTGATAAAGCTATCTACCCAGCCATATTAGCTTTTTATGTGTGTGTGTGTGTGTATTTAAAATAAAAATATAATTACATTCTTTTCCTTCTTCCCTATCCTTCTCCCAGCCCCTCTAAAGTCCCCTCCTTCCAGTTTCGTCCATGTCCCCCCACTTTCAAATTGATAACTTCATTATTATTATTATTAGTTACATATGTGTGTGCATTCATGTATGCATAAATATATAAATACAACCTGCTAAATAAGTTTCTGTTATTTGTGTGTATATGGATTCAGAGTATTGAATAACAAATTAGGGGCTCATCCCTGGGTAGTCATTAGTTGCCTTTTCTTTTGTTGTTATTGTTGTTAGCATACAAAGTAATAGATGTCATCACGGCATTTTCGAACATACTTTGGCTTTATTGATTTTCCTCCCACAGCAGCCTGCCTCTTTCCTCCTAAACCCTTTCTTCACCTCATTGGTCCTTCTTCTGCCTGCATGTCACATATATTCTTTGACCCTGTTTTCTTCTCCCCAACATTCCCTTAGGATAAGACCTTTTCCTCCCTCATGATCCCCTTTCCAGACTTCTAGCCCATACCCCCCACACAGATGCACCTGGATACATATTAAAATTTAGGCTCTGCGTGTGAGGGAAAACATGCAGTATTTGTCTTTCTGAGTCTGAGACACATTGTTTAATATCGTCATTGTAATTTGTTACACCTATTTTCCTGCAAAAGTCACGACTCTATTTTTCTTTGTGGCTGAATCTTTTGACTGCTATTATACTGTAGACTTTTCTCCCACCTTCTCTTGATGTTTTTGTGTAAGCTCACGATGTTTTCACCTATTCCTTATATTATGTTGAAAGGCGCAGAGTCCATGAAATTACTTGTTCAAGCATTCTCTTTTCCTCGATTCATCAGAGGGAACATGGTCTTCTTTTCGCTGTTTCTGTGCTTTCATTTTTATCAGTTTGATGCAAATCACTGACTTTCTATGCAAGATGTTCTTTATCATCTAATTGTGCTGTGCTCTGGAGAGGAGAAAATGGGCACTTGATTGCTACTGTGACTACTGTGTGGTTGCTATGGAAAGTGTATCTGACCACACGAATTGAAATCAGATAGTTTGCCTTATCTCTTGCTTGAGTCCTTGGATAAGCAGAACTTGCCATTTAGCTTGAGGCTACAGGTTGGTTGCACATTAATTTTGTTTGGAGATGGTCTCTGCCCTTGGCCCTATTAATTTGTACTGGATGGTTTTCTGGTTTGGGTTTATTATTCTTTTCTTTAATCATCAAATATGGAAGTCTTAAAGGCTGGTCCTAACATGCTATGTAAAACTAGCTGCTAGTTTCCGTTGCAGGTATCCAAGAGAGAAAGTAACTCAGAATCTGTGTTTTATTTTGACTAGACAAGACAAAAAGCAGCACCAGGTTGGAGATGTAGCTCAGTTGATAGAGTGTTTGCCTAGCATCCAAAATGTCCTGGTTCCATCCCAGCACGACATAAACTGGGGATAGTGGCGTCCATCTGTAACCTCAATGATTGAAGTGCAGGAAGGAGGATGAGGAATTCAAGTCTATCCTTGGTTATATAGTGATTCCAAGCTAGCCTGGGCTACATGGAACTCTCCCTGTTTCCAAACCTGAGGTGTTGTTGTTGTTGTTGTTAATAAGGTCAGGGAGAAGTCTCAGTGAGTAAAAACTCTTGCTGTACAAGACTGACGTTCTGAGTTCAACCCCTAGAAAATAGAACCCTTTCTTAATGGGCAAGACTGATTTTGGTGTAAATATGTATTGTTTAGATACCAGCAGTAAACATCTTGAAAACAGTTTTTCTGGTTATAAAGTTAATGCAATTAATTATAATTTGTGATCATCAAAAAGTTTTGAAGTATCAAATTAAACTTTTGGGTAGAATGGAAGAGGTGGCTCAGCAATTAAGAGCCAGTATCTCTCTTGCAGAGGACCCAAGATCAGTTTCCAGCACCCACTTAAGGTGGCTCACAACTGCCTGTAAGTCCAACTCCAGGGGATCCAATGCCCTCTTCTAGTCTCCACAGACACCTGCACTTCCATCTGCACAAACATACACACATAATTAAAATTAAAGTCTTTGAGCATTGCTATATAACCATGAAGTTATACTACAGCTAACATATATATATCCTATTGCTTTAGATTATATTTCCACATAATTAGAATCCTTCTACATAGTTTTTGTGGAGAGAGTTTTAATGATGAGCTTTGACCCCAGAGGTCTGGTGCATGGTAAACATATGCTCTATGACTGAACTATACCCCTACTCCTTTATTGACAGATTTTAATCATGGATTTTTACTTAACACTTTACCATGACATTTTCCCTATGATATTTAAAATCATTTAAAACATACTTTTGTTGTTGTTATTGTTCTTTGTTTGAAAAATAATTCTATCTATTCTAGGCTAGCCTCAAATTCCTTATGTAATCAAGGATGACATTGATCCTTTCCTCCTCAGTGCTGGAATTAATGCCTTATTCCACCTTGCTGGGTTGTTTAAACACTGTTTCTAATAACTAGTATCTCACCATAGCTATTTTGTCAGTTTTATTAAATTAGTTTATAAAATTAAATCATTTTGCGGGAACACAATGCATCTCTTTATAACTCTTAGTAAAATTTTGTGGTTTCTTTATGTACATCAGATTTTTAGGTTAAGAATTTCATTATGATTTGTTGCTGGTGTTGTGGTGGGGGGTTCTGTTATCTTCTGATTGTTTATCACTAGCATATGAACAACTAATGAATCATGGATATTTTATCTGGCCACTTCACCTAATATATTTTTAGTATTTTTCTATTTTTTTCCATTTTGGTAGCTGGATAACCTTAATTATGTTCAAATAGCTACTCTGCCCCATTTCTCATAGCTATAGCCATTGCTGTGTTTCATGTCTTACTGTACCGATGAGAATTTGGGGATCAATGTTAACTAATGGTGTTAATCCTTGTGTGGGTCTGGGTTTCAGTGAGGATGCCTCAAGTGGCATTTCCCAGTTAAAGACATTCTGGCCTGATTACTTGCTGGTCCTTAAAAAAAAAAGTAAGAAACTGCATTTAAACCAGACATGGCATGTGCCAGTAGTCAGAATACTTGGAAGGCTTAAGTAAAATGATCATGAATTCAAGGCTAGGGCTATATAGCAAGTTCAAGACCAGCCTGTGAGTTAGACAGAGAAAGCAATTATGGCTTGCAAGTAGTCACTGGGCACACTGCATCAGCAAACTCCCAGCAACAAGTTCTACTTTCCTTGCCTCTAGTCATCTTCCTATGTACAGTCTCTATGTAGAAAAAAATAAGAGAAAATCAGAAAGGAGTTACAGTACCATATTTAAATTTTTCAATGTAGATTTCCAGTTTTAGTTAAGGAGGATGGGTAAAATTTAAACCCTGGAAGAACTTGAAATACAGGGCCTGCATAGGTTTCAGCCAGAATTGTTCCCAACTATGAGGGTGGGCAAAGTGGACACAAGCTCCTATTGCTAATGGAGAAATTATCTCCAACTGATATCTGCTTTCAAAGAGAAAAAGTAGTTTTCTTCAATGGAGTCTCACTGATTGTATTAACCACACTTAAGGCTAGGCTCCATGTGCAGCAGTAGATAAACAACACAAAATAAACTCAATGGTATTTTTATAGACCATTTGTCTGAGATCACTATGTTTGGCCTTTTCCTTATATATTATGGTTTCTATTTTTTTATTTTTTTTATGACTTTTGTGTGTGTGTTGTATGGGTATGTGCTTCTTGTGATTTTTTTTTCTTTGTTTCTTCTTTTAAAGACATTCTGGTTTTTTGTTGTCTTATTTTCTATTTTGTTTTCTAAAGAGAGAAAGAAAGGTCTGGAATTGGGAAGATTTGGAAATGGGGAGAATCTTGGAGAAATTTGGGTGTTTGATCAGAATATATTGACTGAAAGAAAATTATATATATTATATTATGTATAAATTATACATATTATACTAATTATATTATAAAGAATTATACTAGTTACCTAGAAAGAAAATAAATAA